TCATTGGAGCAAGTCTTCTCTAAATATGGACAGATTTCTGAAGGTGAGACTGCAGAGCCAAGCTGGGATAGTTTCCCTTAATCTGTTACATTTCCCTGGYGCTGATKAGWTTTTCCCCACCTCTCCTTTTCACAGTCGTGGTGGTGAAAGACAGAGAGACTCAGAGATCCAGAGGTTTTGGCTTTGTTACTTTTGAAAACATCGATGATGCAAAAGACGCGATGATGGCCATGAACGGAAAGGTGAGGAGGCTCAGGAGCTGATTCTTTATTTCCAGTAACGTAGAAAAGGAAACAGGAGAGGTGTGCTGCTGTTCAGTCTGTGGAGAAACAGATAAATGCCCRTGTYTTGAAAGYGTGAAAYGTTACAGATATAAGAAATCTGGTSATAYGAATTTACRTGCAAGTGTATATTAAGAGYRTAAACTTGCCTGAGTATAAARTTCCATGATAGAACCTGCATGACTGAAATAGTGACTTCATGGGAATTCSTGCAAATAGAATTAYTGTATCAATTTTCTTGCCTAGCTGGCCTAGTTGTGGCATGAAATACCCGTTTATTTTATGAGAAGCAGTAAATCCTGGCACTGCTTAGCTGATTATGAAGGCGTGCAACTCRTTCTACATGTGCTTTGCTATTTAAATATTTAGATTTGGCTAACTGTGGTTCTGTTTTAGTCTGTAGACGGGCGTCAGATCCGRGTTGACCAGGCTGGCAAATCCTCTGAGAACAGATCCCGTGGCTACAGAGGGGGTTCCTCAGGGGGCAGGGGTTTCTTCCGCGGAGGCCGAGGCCGGGGTCGTGGCTTCTCCAGAGGTGAGTGCATGGGGGTCAGTCACACTGGATGGAGTGGGTGTCATTTGTTAGAATGCTTTAAAAAAACCCATTTCCATGTATTTCCAAGGAGGTGGAGACAGAGGCTATGGCGGCAGCAGATTTGATTCCAGAAGCGGAGGTTATAACGGTTCCAGAGACTACTATAATAGCAGGTAAGGGCTCAGCCAGCGCTGAGGGTCGTGGGGAAGCCTTGGTGGATGTCAAAGCAGCGGAGAAGCAGTTGAGCAGCTGTAAAGCAGATGCTGTTTGTCCYGCAGGAGTCAAGGTGGCTATGGGGACAGGAACTCAGGAGGCTCCTACAGAGACAGCTACGACAGTTACGGTAAGTCCTGCTTCGAGCGGGAGCGCTGAGTCCGTGTGCTGTAGGAGCTCTGAAGCTGCTGAGCCTGAGCCTGGAGCTGTGCAGGCTCAGGCTGTGGACGTGGTGGTGCCGGGAGATTGTAATGTAATGCATGTGCAGGAGTTGCTCGAATCTAAGGCAAAGCAAGTGTTTAAAAAAAAAAAAAAAGGTGTTCTGAAGCCCAAACTCGGCTGCCCTAACGCACTGACCCGCGGGTGGGGGATCTCAGTAGCCAAGTAGCCGTAGCCTCGGAATAATGCAAAGGGAGTAAAATGCTGGAACTTGTCTTTGCTTCAGTGCCTTTACAATTGTGCCTGCTTCTTGTCCTCAGCTACACACAACGAGTAAAAATCCTTCCTGACTCAAGATCGTCCTTCCAATGGCTGTATTTATAAAGATTTTTGGAGCTTCGCTGAAATGGTTATTGTGTAGTACATCTACTTGTATTTTCACTTTTGTAGTATTATCAGTTCTGATCTTGTCACACACAGCCTGGCAGCTTCTGAGACGAGACTGTCTGATTAGACTGTCTTGGAGAAAGCTCTGCTTTCAAGTGGTTTTAATCTTTTTTGAAAGCACTTCAGATTTTATTTTATTCTCCATGAATGAGCCAAGGTGTTCGGTTTTGTTTTTTTTAAAGTTGGGGCCCCAATTCAGTTTCTTTTGAGCTAGAAAGGACCTTGTACCGATGTTCACTGGAAGCTGAACAAGCTGTGGACTTTTTTCTTTTTTTTTTTAAGTGCATTACCTTCGTCTTTTGTAACATTCCTTTAGTGTAGCAAGGTAGGAATGCAGCCTGGGTTCCGTTGGAAGGCAAACCACCTTGATATATCTAAAGAGAAACGTGCTTGTATGTTCAACCCGCATAACGGTATTTTTACTGTTGTAACGATGTAAATGACCCAGAACTAGACTTGCAAACTTACCATAAAGAGGTTCTTGAAAATGTTTATTTATATTGTCCTTTTTTACTGGAAGAAATATGCATATTCCATTGCTGTTGTATTTGAAGTGGTAAAGGATTCCTGTATACAGTTTTCTTTGGCTTTACGAAGCCTATTAAAAGACCGTCTGAAATGAACTCTGCTCCTGACATTTACATTTCATTGCACAACACAACCCTTGGAGATGAAGAACAGTCTTGGGAGCGAGAGGAGGAGATTAGGGACAGTGGCAGAGCCAGCCRGACGACTAACCAGGCGCTGGAATTTAAATCCTTAAATCGGTCTTGACATCTGAATTGGCCAACAAATCTCACATAAAATGGTCAAAAATTGTCTATAGAGGCTGGAAGCACAAACCTGAGGGTGTGCTAGGAGCAAAGTGCAGTCGGAATGTTAGGAAGGATAATGGATGTTTCCTCAAAATCTGCTKTAGCCTACACTGGGAAGCTGTAGAGAAAAGCAAAGTGCTGTAGTCCCTGGGCTGTTCCCTGCGTGCCGAGCGCGTGTGCGATGGTAGGGGAATGCCGGGCTTAGCTTAGCTGTGTCATTGCTTACAAGTTCTAAGAATTCTTTGCTAGCAAATGGAAACTGCAGTGTCCTTGGAGAAAAGAAGTGTTGTGCCTCCAACAGAAACCTCTGAGACGAGAGCTGCTCTCTTGGCTAGTTCATATGTGGAAATAGTCCTGTAATTCGAGGTAACTCCTTTTGCTCATGTCCGCATCCTTCCTCTTGTTGAGAGCTCATTTGAAAGTCTAATGTACCTGTGAAATATTCCTTTTGACAATTTTGGTCAGCTGCTGGAAAAACGTTAACCCATGCCGTATGCAACCTTTGGCTTGTGGCACACCTTGAGTTCCACAGATCAGAGTTGGGCATGCAGCCGTGTCTTGCTGTAGGTACGGAAGCAAGATGGGAACGAACTCCCTGACTCGATATGTGTTCATCTATTGAGACTCTTCCTAGACCTTCATTAAGTTGCTCACTTTAATTGTAGCTTTCTTTGCCATCCTACTTGTTGCCATTAACTTTTTCCCATGGCCCACACTTCCTAAGCAGCCATGTYCAAGTGTTAACTCTCTGCTTAGGGGATCCAATCCATGGGCTGGCTGAGCACGGGCAGCAGCCGGCCCGGAAMAGTTTTCCCAGACTGTGCTTTGTGGTGTGATGGGTTCAGCGATGGCTTGTGAGACCCTCGTGCGCTGTGAGCTGTGTGGGGAGGTTGGGGGTGAATTTAGTCTCTGCTCAGAGCTTYCTGTTAATGCCTCTCTGCTTTGGCAGGCTGAAGGGACCTGGCACACACCTCGGAGGCCAAGCGGATCCTGAGGGACCAGAGCTGCGTTCCAGGGATGCAGGAGCAAGTTTGCCAACCAGGTAACAGCCCTTTCCTGAGCTTTTTTTCTCTTTTTTTTTCATAGCCTTGAGCTCCAGTAGCCCTATTAAATTTCTGTATCTTTATCTCCCTGCCAACTCTCTTGTTTCTATTTCATTTCAGCACTGAGACACGTCAGAGAAGACAGAAGGACAAACAAATCGAGGAGATGMAGAGCTCAGAGCAGTGGTGTTGCTCATTTTTATATGGATCAGTTGAACCAAGTCAATCAAGCTGGAATAAAACACTGAAATGTGAAAAAATTATTATCTCTTGTCCTTTTTGTGGGAAATAGGATATTTTTGGCAAAAGTATTTGGTGCACAGCCCAGTTCAGAGAATTGCTRTGGTGCTTGAAGGTGGATACATTTGGCTCTGAGCCAATTGATGCATGATCCTCATGGAAAATGAGGTCTRTTTGGTAGTTAAATCCCAAAAATAYRGCAGTTCARTAATGAGGATTTGGGAGAGGCTGATAACTGAGTTTTTGGCAGGAGATTGCAGGGTGAGAGCAGTGAGAGGTTTTGATGATCTCAGCTGCTCCTGCCCATTTTTTGTGTTAAAGAACCGTTGATTGCTTCATCCCACCCTTTTCTCCCCTTTTTTTTTAAACTGATAAACTCAGAATTTGGTGATGAACTCAAAAGCCCCAAGGACTTGATGCCCAAGAGCCATCAGCTCCCAATTTCCCACTGATAAGAGTCTCCAGACATTCCTGCCTGCAGGAGGGGATTATTGAGCTCACTTCACAAAACCTACTTTTCCTCCTTTAACCTTTTTCAAATTATCTAAGTGAGCAGCATTTAAAAAAAGCAATCAGCCATGACACACTTCTGGGGGTTGTATTGAGCAATTCACCAGTGAGGATTYTTTGCATGTTAATGCGGGAGGATATTAAATATAATGAAGGATGAGGAGTGTGTGAAGTCTTYGCTGATAAAAATGCAGTCAGGTGAGGCTTAAAATGAATTCAGGCTGAAAATACTTACAAATAATKCTTTGTAAGACCTCCCTAAATAGGATGCTTAGACGCAGGCAGTAATAATGAATAGGTGCRAAAATAGACCCTGGTTGGAGGTGCTGTTATTTTTGGCATTGCTAATTATGGCAATGAGTTAATGATGTCTTGCTGGGAGGGGTGAAGAAGTCGCTGGATCCGGGGGCTGGATATGGAATCCAGTGGCGTCATCCGGAAGGTGTTTGGGTGCCGTGGGTCTGACGTGAGCTCGGGTGACCCAGTTTTAGCCAAAATGCCCTTTTTTTTTTAAAGTAAGCCCGGTGTGTCCAGGCAGCTTGAGCCGTTCCTTGGGKAAACGGGGGAGTGGAACGCGGCTGAAGGGCGTGATTGAGCCCTGGTCAGCCTTAAGAAGCTGCGAAAGAACAAGGGAGGGGTTTGGAATTCTTGAAATCCTTAAAATGCTCCCGTTTTTATCTGCGTTCACCCTGGGGCGGGAAAGGCCGCCCTGAGCGGGGGGAAGGACGACCCTGAGGGGGAAATGGCGGCTCTGGGGGAAAAGGTCCTGCTGTGAGGGGGACATAGTGACACAAAGGGAGAAATTATGATGCTCAGGGGGAGATGGCCGTGAGGGAGGAAGGACAACGCTGAGGGGGAAATGGCGGTTCTGAGGGAGAAATGAGAGTCCTGGAGGGGCAATGGCGGTTCTGAGGGAGAAATGAGAGTCCTGGAGGGGCAATGGCGGTTCTGAGGGAGAAATGAGAGTCCTGGAGGGGCARTGGCGGTTCTGAGGGAGRAATGAGAGTCCTGGAGGGGCAATGGCGGCCCTGAGGGAGGAAGGATGACCCGGAGCGGAAAATGGCGGCTGTGACGGACAGGGGGTGATGCAGTGAGGGAGAAATGGCGGCCTCTCCGAGGTGGCCGCAGCCGCCAAGGGGACAACGACGACTTGTGAGGGCAAAATGTCGGAGCCCAGCGGCGTCTCCGTGAGGGAGTCACGGCAGGACCGGAACGGCGCAGCCCCGGAACCCGCGAGCGGCTCCGCGGGGCCCGGGCGGTGCCTGAGCCGCGCGCACCGTCCCGGCGCTTTCCTGCGGCCGCCGCTCCCGCTCCGCCGGCCCGGCCATGCCGCGCCTCCTCCTCCTCCTCTTCTTCTTCCTCCTCATCCCGCACCTCCACCGCGCCTCCACGCCCAGCCCGGGCAACAGCACGGAGCCTCCGCGGGCGGCCGCGGGGAACGAGACGCAGCCGGAGTCSGGGCACGAGTCCGGGCCGAGGCTGTCGGTGGGGTCGGGGCTGCCGGTGCTGAGGCGGGCGGTTTATGTGCTGAGCGCTCTGTCGGCGCTGGCCGCGCTYTACTTCGTGCTGCGGGCTTTCCGGTGAGTGTGAGGGGGACGGGCATCCCACCGTGGGTTGTGTCTGTTCCTGCTGAGCTCTGTCCTGGTTTTATCCTAATACTGGTGTTCCCTGAGCTGGGGTTGTGTCTCTGCTGGTCCCAGTCCCTGTTCTCCCTGTCCCGGGCTGTGTCACGGCTTGTCCTGGTTCCAGTGTGGCTCAGGGGTGTCCCCTGCTTGTCCTGGATTCCCCTGGTYTGGGATGTCACCCTGATTGTCCTGGTGCCTGTCCCCCTTCCAGTCCCGGTCACGGTGTCCCCTGTCCCTTGCCTGCCCCATTTCTTCTCCTAATCCCYGAGTTTGTTCCTGTTTTCCCTAAATCCCCCTCCCTCTGCCAGYCGGGGCTCTGCTTCCCCTGGTCTGGGATGTCACCCTGTTTGTCCTGGTCCCTGTCCCCCATGGCTGTGCCCCTTCCAGTCCCGGTCACGGTGTCCCCTGTCCCTTGCCTGCCCCATTTCTTCTCCTAATCCCTGAGTTTGTTCCTGATTTCCCTAAATCCCCCTCCCTCTGCCAGCCGCGGCTCTGCTTCCCCGCTTATCCCCTTGGCAGCGCGTCCGAAACGCTGCTGTAAATCCCCAGCGCTGTTAATTACCCGAGGTAATTAGCGCTAAACCATCTCCGGTCCCGCTGGGTGGGGACAGCAGCTCACTCACTGTGCTCTCCCTRTCCCTCAGCCCCAGGTCCGAGTGCCCCAGAAACGAGCCCAAAACTCATTTCAGGTTGAAGAAGCCCCAGAGGAAGAAGTACGGGCTGCTCTCGAGCCACGACGAGAACATCGAGCTGGGYTCCCTGGACAGTGATGAGGAGACCGTGTTTGAAACACGGAACCTGAGGCGGTGAGGGAGCGTTTTGTGTGTTTTTTTGCGTGTTGCTCTTTTCCTCACAAGGGGCTGAGGCTCCTTTCCCAAAGCCGTGGATGCTTTGGCACAGTTCCTACAACCAGATCTGCATAAATTAGAACGCCTGTGTGTGGTCTCTGTGTTGGCACATGGATTTATCTCGCTTTTCCTCATTTTCTGGCCCAGGGAAGCCTCACTGGCAGGGTTATTTGGATGCTGCTGTGGGGTCGCAGGGCTGTTGGGAGAGGCAGCTCTTGTGCCCAGTCTGGGCCTCCCTGTGTTAGACAGGAAAACAAAAATTCCTGGTTTTTTTTTTTGTTTTTTTTTTCAGTTCAGGAGTTGCTTCCAAGTCATATCACAGTTTGAACTCTCAGTCCCATCAGGACATCCATTCCTGCTTTCCCAGCAAAATTCCTGTTGGTTTTTTATTTTTTCATTTTGGGAATTGCTTCCAAGTCATATCACAGTTCAAACTCCCTGTCCTGTTGAGATATCCATTCTTGCTTTCCCAGCATGGTGTTTACATCCCTCAAGTTGGATTTCTGGGGAGGTTGTTTTAAAGCTGAGGAGAAATGTCACCTCAAGGAATGTCACCTCAGCTCTCCCCACCTGTSCTCCCCCTGATTTTGGGTGTCTCCTTTTTTTTTTTCCAGATGATTCAGGACCAGCAATGCCAGCTGCCAGTACTGATGGAGGGTCCAATCCCAGTGGAATCTCCAGTGCTCAAGTTCTGTAYCTGCTTACAGTGACTATTAATTAACAGTTCAAGCCCTTCCATAGCTGGGGCAGGGGAAAGGGGACCAAACCTGTTTTCTTCACATGCATTTATTTTTGGGGACATTTTTTGGGAAAGTTGGGAGCTGTTCACTGCATGGGGAGAGGCTGAGGTAAGGGAGATGTTCCTGGATGATTTTCAGCAGCTGAAATTTGAGCTTTGAGCTCAAGAGCTGCCCCTGTGCCTCATATCCCTCTCTCCTTGCCCTGGAAGCATCGGTTTCCTTTTCCAGGCTGATCCTCTTTCCTTCATGCAATATCAGGTTACTTCTTTGGGAAGTGTCTCTGTAATCAGCTCCTGGGAGGAGCTGGGAGAGCTCTCGGTGTCTGTTGCACAAACAGGGGGTRGGAGGGTGATGGTACAGACAGAACAGCTTTGGGAATGAGTTAAAYGAGTTAAATTTTGCAGGGTTAGCAGTTCCTGGGATAATCCAGGTCATTCATGGGTTTACAGACATGTTTACAAATGGAAGGGGCCACAACCCAAAGAAATATTTCTCCAAAAGAGCCACCGAAAGGGCTGGGAGTGCCCGGTGTCTGCCCAGCCCCAGTCGTGCGTTCATCGGGGACACATGTGACACTGGTGACACGTGTGACATCTCCAAACTCTGGATTTTGAGATACCTGAGGAAGAGCCAGGGAGTGTCTTGGAGCAGCTGATGCCTGGAAAAGGGGAGACCCCAACCCCTCTTGACTGTGATTCAGATCAGCCCTGGCTGTGAGTTATCTCTTCTCCACGACCCTGGAGTTTCACTCCCTTGGCTGGTACTCAACGGGGATCTTCCCTGCAGCCCATTGTTATGTGGATATTTGGCATCTGATTGTGTAGGACCAAAGGTGAATGTGTCAGGAGGTTGTTGTTGGGTGGATCTGCTGCTAAAACTGCTCGCCAARTGCTCCTGTCTGTGGCCTTTCTTTCCAAACTGGCAGCACATCCTTAAATCCCACTTCTCCCCCAAGCTGGTAGTGCCTTTGTTTGGATGTGCCCTGCGGGCAGGGAGGTCCCTGTGGCACCTTTAGGGTGAATATTTCGAATGTCTTTGGAATGTCTTTGGCTCTTTTCCTTTGGCTTGCAAATCCCCTGTGGATCAGGGGGCATTGGTGTCACTTGGGGAGGGGACAGATGGGGTGTGCTGATCAGGGAGGTGCTGGGGGCTGGCAGCTGCTCCAAGATCCCCTGAGGCTGTTGAAGGAGTGCTGTGATCCTGTGCAAGTGGCCACGTTCCCCTGTTCAGGACAGGTGAGGTTTCCTGGAGAAATCCCACCTCTGTGGCAGCTCCCTCTTGCATGTGCACAAAAGGATTTTAAAACACATATATAGGTATATTTTTAATAACGCCGCCATGTGCACACACAATGCTTGGATGTGCTCTGTTCTCCTGTCGTTTGGATCCTCCCACACCTGTTTTGGGGTGTTCCCTGCTTGTGTAGCTGCTGCAGATGGGAGCAGGCAGAGATTCCTTGTGGGAATCGTGGGGATTGCTGCACCAATCTGCCTCTGGAGCTGCGTCATCCGTGGTCAGGGATCTCTTGATCCTGCAGGGCTGCATGTGCTGGTAATTCCCTGGCTGTTCAATTCCCTCGGGAAAATTGTCCTGGTAATTCCCTGGCTCTTCAATTCCCTCGGGAAAATTGTCCTGGTAATTCCCTGGCTCTTCAATTCCCTCGGGAAAATTGTTCCTTGTGCTGTTAGAGCCACGTGAGCCCGACTGTCCCAATCCTTGCTCAGTGTTTGACCAACACATTCCTCAGTATTCCTTTACCTGRAGTGATGAACCTGAACATTCCTGAGGCTCCCCCTCTGTTGGGACARGTGGGGTTTGTAATTCTCAAGTTTCCTCACCTTGCAGGAGTGCAGGATTTGTTTGTTGTTAAATGATCCGGATCAGAGGGAACCTCAAGCCGTAGGTCCTGCCCTGAAAATAATTCTGCTGGAATTTGTTCTGGCTGGAACAGGTGTTTGTGTTTGAGCAGGGAAAGGTGTGGAGCAGGTTATGAGGTGCCTGTGCTGTGTAAGTACCAGGGAAAGAATTTGAGGTGCCAGCCTGGAATTTCTGCACCATTCCATCTWCTCAGAGTGCTGCTGGTCCCTTTTAAATGGTGCAGGGTACAAAGGTGCTCATGGGGCTGTTGCTTGTCCTCATTCTTGGCTGGAGACAGGTGGGAGCAGTAATCAGGGACCCTGTGAAGCTGCTTCTATTCCCATCCTGCCTTTCAGCAGCAGTTGGTGTCTGGTTTTGCCATTTTGCCCTTTGCAGGCCATATCATTCCATCCCTGCTCCTCCCTGACTCCTTGGAGGCCTTTTCCAAGAGGAGAAAACCAAGTGGCAGCCCTGAGACACCTTGGGGTGCTCAGCATGATCCCATTTCTCCAGGAAGAATCAACTGGAGCTGTCACTTCTGCAGTGTGAGCAGTGCCAGGCCAGGTATTTTTGAGGTGGATCCTTCAAATAACAGGAGCTTTGAACACCTCATGTCACATTTCCACAAAAAGGAGCAGTTCAGGTGTTACTTCCTTTACTCTTCCAGTTCCTCCTTTTAGATCCCTGCACTGCTTGGGTCTTCCAGTAGCTTTCCAGTTTTAGTTTTTCAGGCTAAACACGGGGATGCAARTGGACCTGTCTGTGCCTGGCCCTGGGCAGGCTGAGACCTCACCAGCCACTGCTGCACTTTTCTTTCTCYGGGGTGAATCAGGGTGTTGGTGGGAGGCTCTGTTGGTTTTCAGGATTCCTGCTCATCCCAGCCAAAAGGAGCTGATGGACCACAGCCTGTGACAGTCACCACCTGTGTGTGTCACGAGTGACTCTGCTCCAAATTAAGCCAAAGCCAAATTTCTAAAGTTTACATAATCCCTCTCTCATCTTGGAGGCTTCATGGGATGTTCTGCTGCTGCTACCTGTCCAAAACCAACTGGGCCATCTGCAGGGTTTATGGGATCTGTGGGATTGGGATGGGATCAGCTCTGTGGTTGTTCTGTGCCTGGAATGGGATCTGCAGCGTGGGGAGTGCTGGGAGAGGGGCCTGGGATGGGAGCCCTGGAGTCAATAAACAGCACTTGAGCACGTTGTTGTCTGAAATCCCCAAGGAGCAGCTCATGTTTCACCCTCCTGGAAATGCTGATTTATCTTTAAACAGCCACCGGCCTTGTATTGATCAATTGTTTTCCTGTTGTTGAGCATCCTTTCCCTTGCACCTGGAACTCCTGGAATAAAGCATTCCAGCCCACCCGTCCTTCCCATGGGATGAGGCTGCTGTGGTGGGTTCGTGGATTTRTGGAGGCCTTTGGGTTTCCCCCTGCCCTGCTCCTGCTCACAGGACAGTTCCACTGTCCCCTCCTGTGCTCCCAGGGCTGCTGCTCACCTTGTGTCCCATCTGGAAGTGTCCAAGGCCAGGTTGGATGGGCCTGGAGCAACCTGGGACAGTGGAAGGTGCCCCTGCCCRTGGCAGGAGGTGGAACAAGGTGAGCTTTAAGTTCCTTTTCAGCCCAAACCATTCCATGACTCCATGATTCTCCACTCATCTCTGGCTTGGTTTCAGTTTTCTAAAGTCTCCTCCCTTCTTTCTGTTCTCATTAATCCCTTTTCTTCTACAGAAGACCAAATAAGGTCCCTGTGATGCCAGTTCTGGCCTCTCCACAGCAGCAGARCCAAATTCCATTTTGCTTATTTGGGAGCATTGAAGGAGAGGCTGTTCCTGGGTCATGGAATCATGGAATCTCCTGAGTTGGAAAGGACCCACAGGSATCWTCGAGTCCAACTCCTGGCCCTGTCCAGACACCCCAACAATCCCACCCTRTGCCTGAGAGCATTGTCCAAACCCTTCYCCATTCCCTGGGGARTCTGTTCAGTGCCCCACCACCCTCTAGGGGAAGAACCTTTTCCTAAAATCCATCCCAAACCCCCTGACACAGCCCCAGCCATCCCTTTGGGTCCTGTCCCTGATCCYAGGGAGCAGAGATCGGTGCTGCCCCTCAGGAGTCTCCCCTGMGTCTCCTCCAGGCTGAAATGARAATATCCCAGCTCCTCCCTGCAAGGAATTAGTTCCAGAACAAAACCAAGGGCGTTCCCTGATTCTCACATCTGCTTCTCATCCGTCTCATTCCGCTTGCGTGGATCAGTGGCATTGAGAAACCAGAAGTCACGCTCCCCCATTCCCCCTCTGCCACCCTGCCCTGTGTCCCCGTGTCCTGTCTGCCTGTCCTGRAGCAGCAGAAGAGGGAGAAAAATTTTGTTTGCTCCACGATTTACCCTTATTACTGTTCCCGGGGTTTTGGGGRGCAGCAGGGCCGGGTACAACAGGAACTTTGGGGAGCTTTGGGGATCCCTGTAGGTGGCACTCACAGACCAGACTTGAGGCTGCCGGGGCACTGCCGGCACCTGGGGAAGCTGCAAATAAATCCTGGCGCCTTGAAAGGCAAATCCTCCTCCAGCAGCTGTCTGGGATGAGCTGGAGAGCCCTTTGGGAGGCCRTGTCCCTTAGCCTCGGGGTGGGGGAGCAGCAGGTTTTGGGGCGGCTCCTGGGGAGCTGTTGGGAGGGTCTCTCTCGGGGAGAGTCTCAGGAGCAGGGGAGGGTTTTGYCCCAGCTCCACCTGAGCCAGGTTTCACCTGGACCTGTCCGTACTTGTTTGGGAAGGATTTTTATGATTCTGGGCCTGACAAGGTTTCGGGATGCCCTGGTTTGATGGAGTGAAGCCGCCAGCTCCAGCACAGACATGAACACCCAGCCCTGGCACRGCAGCACCCTGGGGGCACCCCGGCTTTCCTGGGCCAAATTAACTGCAGTGCTAATGAACTAACAGAGAGCATTCCCTGTGCAGCAGCATGGGCAGGGCAGCATCACCCTGTCTGGTTAGACTGGATACTGGAGAAAATTCCTTCCCCAAAAGGAGGGGATCCAGCCTGGCACAGGATCCCCAGGGCAGTGGCGGTGTCACCATCTCTGGAAGTGTTYAAAAAACCCCTGAATGTGGCACCTGGGGGACATGATTTAGTGATGGCCTTGACAGTGCTGTGGGAATGGTTGCACTTCATGATCTCAGGGGTCTTTTCCAAGAAAAATTCCACTATTCTGTGCTTTCAAGCTCTGTCTGCGCATAGTGCTGGGAGCTGCTGCAGGATTGGAACCGCGTGCTTGTTCCTTTTCAGGCTCAGGGGGCTGTTACCCCAATTAGCACTAATTGCTGTGGCCTGTGGTGCTGGACCAGCTGCAGCTGTGCTGTGCTCCCCCCATCCCTGTTCCCTGCTCTGTGCCATCCCCTCTTCCCGAGCTCTCGCTGGGGACAGGCTCCGGCTGGCGCTGGCTGGGATTCCAGTCACAAACACAAGCTGGCGGCATGGATCCGCTCRGAATTTATTTTAAACTCGAGGTAAAGTGCTCTTGATGCTTTGGATGCAAATTTCCTTGCCTGGAAAGGGAGCTGCGGGGCCGGTGGAGTGCCGGGGAGCTCTTTTGATTCCAGAGCCTGTTTGCTGCTGCGGTTCCTCGCTCCACGGAGTGCAAAATCACCTCTGCGGCACAGCCCGGGGAGGGAGCACCGCTGGCACTGAGAGCTCTTCTCTTGCTCTCTGTCCCCTGGTTTTAATGAGGGTTCATGGCTAAAGTTGGTGTTTTTTGTTTTATTAATTTTTTTTGTGTATTTGTGTGTGACACAGCAATCTGCGTGTGATTTTTCTGGATTTTGTATGGAAGAAGAGATGGTTCAAGTGCTCCCAGTCTCCAAAGGAGAGAAGAGAGGGAAATATAGGATGGGTAAAGGATTCTCCATTCATGGATTTCAGAGTTTATTGTCACGGGATTCCTCCAGTACTAAATAGACCTCAGTTTTAATAGGTGGCATTAGCCAAGGCTAAGTTRGGTGGGGTTTGGAGCAACCTGGTCTAGTGAAAGGTGTCCCTGCCCATGGCAGGRCGTGGAATKRGATGAGCTTTAAGGYTCTTCCAACCCAAACTATCCCAGGGTTGTTTCCATGAGTCTCTGGGTCTATGATTGTCCCCATGAACGCACTGGTCTCGWCTCATTGAAGCCAAGCCCTCTCTGGGTGAGGAGATGAGCGTTGCCAGGGGGAAATGTCACMAGTTTTGTCCAATTTATTGTTCATACACTCACTGGGTGGCTCTGGGGCCTTCAGGGTGACTGTGGGTGGCTCTTGGAGTTTCCTCATAAATGTTTTCAGCAGCACTCACAATTCTCCTGTGCTTCTGTCCCTCTGGGGCTCATCATGATCAAGGGCTGGGTGGTCTTCCTCACCTTCATTCTATGGACACAGACACTCCAAAATGTGTTTCTGGGCTGGTGAAAAATCGGGTGGCACATTGGGAAAGAAGCTGGGAATGTTTGAAAACCTGCTGCACAGTCTCTGATGTCTCCTCTGTTCCACTCAACAAAGCTCCCCTACACAACGAGCAGATTTTCCTGTATCAGAAATTACCTTTACTTAGTTGGCTTTTTGTCTAAATCCTCCTTCTGATCTTTATTTTTTTCCCTTCCAT